AAGACTTATGTAGCTTTTGCTGAAGTAAGTGGGCATAAGATGATGACTATCTTCTTGGGGGTGGGTAGAAAAAGAAAAAAATGAATAGAAGCGAGAACTAAGCACATATGCATAGTGTGTAATTTTGGTTAATTTTCATAACTCAACATTTCGGTTAATTTTAACATTACTAAAATGACTGAGATAGACTTGTGGACTCAGCCTGGGTATGGTAACATATCTTTGTTACTGGATGGATTTTTTTCCATGCTGTGTTGAGATTCGGAGACATTAATGTCTTGAGAGAACATTTTTGGGATACGAACTCCTCATTCTTTTTGAAGGTCTGTGAAGGTAGTGGCTGAAAGTGGAGTCTGAATGGAGCCTACAAGGATTCAAATCCATCACGATCTACAATTTATTACCTGTAGGACCGTTAGCAAGTTAGCCTCTGTCCAACTCGAGTTCCTCTTCCACGGGAGAGAAAGAATAATAGCATCTACCTCACTGGATTAAGGATACATAAAGTGTTTCAGAACAGTGTGTCTGACTGAAAATAAGTGCTGTGTAAAGTTATCTCTCTGTGGGCCACATTCTACATAAAGAGCTCTGAGTTCTATGTTTGTTGCTGTTTTAAAAACTCAGAGATCCTTAAACATGTAAAATACCAAATGATAGTTTGTGGAGTTCATCCATGTCAACCACCCATGTCATCCAATGTGACATACATGCAGGCATGTACATTCAAATTACAAGACCCATGAAAATACCATCCCCAAACTGTTCTATAAGCCAGAGATTCCCTACCCCCAACTTGGCAAGGCCAGTCCTCCCCACCACTCATCTTTTATTATTGGGAAGGCTCTGCTCCTCTGTGAATTTCCTATCAATTCATTTTCAAATGACTCTTGTGATATGAGCATTGTTGAATATGCGCAAGATAGAGGCACAGTGTGTGCAGTGGTCAGATTTGCATAAGTATAAATACAGTATATGTGCCCACATTTAAATGATGTAGTGATAATATTGTGCTGCTTTCCCAGAGTGAAAGCTAATTAATTCAGCTATTGATATGATAATGATTTCCTTTTCAGTTTAATACCAGAGGTAAAAAGAGAGAAAAAAAAAAAGAAAGAAAGAAAACCTGCAGTATTGTTCAGCGCACCCTTTCTTTGATTCTTGTTGGAATAAGGAGTTTCATTCTGTTAACTATTGAGCTGTCTCTCAGTATCTATGACAGTTTTAAAGGGAGTCATTCCTAGGCGGAGCTGAAGACTCATGGGAAGACTGAGTCACACGAGCTAAGATGTTATTTGAGTACAGGGTTTGGCATTGGGGGAAAAAGTTCATTTTGCTTTACTCACTAAAAATGCACACTTTGGTATCTGCATTCTTGATATCAATGCTAATCTAAAGCATAGAGTGTTGCTGTTTTAAAGATTTTTATTGGGTTGGATTTGACATTTAGGAAAGTGTTATGATCTTCCCTTCTGAAATTCACATCAGCTGACAAATTGACAAGGGTGTCCATGGCTAAGTTAACTTTGACATATCCACCTTTCCCTGCAGCCCCTGTTTTCATATTTATCTAGTTACCCAAGGCTAGATTGTCCTCTCCGTTTCTCTTTTTAGCTCTTTCTCAGTCTAGCCTACAGATCTCTAACCTTTGAGCTATGTTATGGTCTCCTGTCTTCTGTCTCCAGTTTCTAGTTCTACCCTTCTTCATCTTGTTCTGTCTTCCAGGATTTTCTCTGCAAGCAGGCTAGATCATACTTTCTATTGCCAAGTTCTTTAGAAATCCCTCTTTTTCTACATAGCAAAGATTCCTCTGTGTGGCTTTCAAGGGCATTTAACACTACTTTCTCACTTTAGACCCTTAGCCACCCCTCACTAATATTCCAGCTTCTACTCTGCTACCAAAATGGATCATCTATGTTTCCTAGGAACTTCTGTGACACTGTTCCTTGCTCATCGTGGAAGGTCTCTCCTCCAGCATGGTACATGTTTCAAAAATTATTCTGTAAGCCCACATTTAAATTTTTCATAAAACTTTTTCTGATTTTCCTACTTGGAATTAGGATCACCCTAGCTCAACATTTGATTCTTAGGTATTGGGAGATCCTCAGATTATAGTTATTTTATTATAATAATTTTTGAATGATAGCTGGATAATTTTTCATAGTTCTCATCATAAACATGCAACTTTCCATGTCTACAGTATTATTGTTTTCCTCCCTCTAAGACATATTGCAACCTTTTCAAGAACATAGACTCAAAATTTTGTTCTATATTACAATATTTTTTCTTCCATACTTCAATTATATATTACATATTTAGCTGTCAGCCTGCCTGTACTCTGCTCTGAATTTACTTCTTCATATTCCCAAGCAGAGAGTTCTGAAGACAGGGATGCCTTACCCATCTTGATAGCTGAAACATCAGAGAATACAGATTTCTGGCATAGCTTAATGTTAAGCTGTTCTCTCATCCTGTGCCCCAGGGGATGAAACTACAGCAGAGCAATTGAGGATCTGAGGATCTTTCTGGTTTTGAGTTGACCTAAAATCAGGGCCAAAGTATTTCATTTCTCTGTATTATTTTACTTTAATTTATAATATAGGGGAAGAGAATAATTGATACTATGATTAAGTAGCCAAGAAGTGGCAGAGTGTTAGAGTAATAGAATGTAAGTAATGAATGTTTGCTATTATTCCAACACCTATTAAAATAACAACTTAGGTCTTGGACAAGAGCAAGTAATCATGAAGTTTTAAGTCCTTGCCAAGAACTTCAAACAGGGAGACCTCAGTGGAAAGGACATAGAGTTGTCCTGTTTTCTTTCTGCTGCTGTGATAAAACTCGATGCCCAGAGGCAATGTAGGATAAGAAAGGGCTTATTTCAACGTATGCTTCTAGGTCACAGTCCATCATTGAGTGAAGTCAGGGCAGGTCTGCTTGCTGATTCCTGCAGTACTGCCTCTAGCCAAGAACTCATTTACACTCTAAGTAATATAACAGAAACCAAGCAGTGAAAGAACACTGCTTGCTGGCTCACGGTCAGGACCATGTTTAGCTAGCTTCCTTATAGCCCAAGTCCATCTGTTTAGGGAATAGTACCACCCATGGTGGACTGGGCCTCCTACATCAACTAACATTTAGGATTACTTCATAGACATGCCCACAGACCAACCTTATAAAAAACAATTGACTGTGACTTTTTAAAAAGCCTGAGCTGTCAACTTGACAGTTAACACCAAGTAGGACAGGAGTAAGCCTAGAATGGAAAAAGCTAGAATTGAAACAGCTTTGTTCTCATCAAGGAAGTATGACTGAAAGTAGCCCAGTGACAGGAAAGGAAGAGCTCAACCCAAGAGATGAAGTGTCAGTTTTGAAAACTTGCCACATACATGTAGTTTATAAAAACAAAATGGTGCCACTTCATCCACAGTGGCTACATCCTAAGATACTCAGTGGAGGCCTCAAACTGTGAGTCATATACATAACTATACAGACATGCATTAGGCACAGGAACATTATCAGTAATAACCAATGACAAAAAAGAAAAATGTGAATGACATGCAATAGAATTTGTTGCACAAATGCCACTGGGTGAGTAATCGGTACAACATGGATTTGCTGGCTGAAGGGATGGTTTTTATTCTTACCCTGGGTGAGGCTGCAAGAAACACGCACACACACACACACACACACACACACACACACACACATTCCGTTCATCACACTATTCAGAAACGTGTAATTTTAAAATTTCCGAGGGACTTATTTCTGGAATTTTCCATTAGTATCTTTGAACCATGCTTTACCACACATGTCATCAAAACCTCAGAAAGTGTAAAACCTCAGAAGTGTGTAAACTTCTGTACTAAACAAGTATTAGTTTCTCTGTCAACTTCTCTTGCTTCCCAAATACATATCCCTGCTTACTACCACAGCAACCCTGGAACTGTTTGACTCTATGGTTAACTGTTTGGAGAACAAACAGATGAGAGACATGAACAGAGGAAGAGTCACACTCCCTTCCTGGCTTTAGGTATCTTATCTGAACTAGCTGCAGCTGGACTGTTCTTCTCTGAGGAGATAATGCATTTTAAATCACACTTGGCATTTTTATGGTTAGGCAAGGCAGTCATATTAATCGCTGAAAAACTCAAACCTTGAGTACAACCTTCTTCCTACTACCTGGTAAACAACAACATGAGTTCTGGCTTTTTGCTTACTGCCTCATGTTCAAAGTTTTAAAAAAGGATCATTTATTTCATTTTGTGTGCAGTATGAGATTTTTGTCTGCATGGATGTGTGTTTACTGTCTGCATGCCTGATGTTCACAGAAGTCAAAGGTGTTGGATTCCTGGAACTGGAGTTATCTGTGGTTGTAAACCACCAAGTGGGTTTGGGGAACCCAACCCTTTCCTCCACAAGAGCACCAAGTGCTCTGGACTACAGAGCCAAATCTCTAACCCCTCACTTGCTATATCAACCATTCCCTGCATGCATCCTACCCCAGCACAGCATCCAGCAGTATTCAAGCAAATTCTACTCTTCCCTTGTTTGGTTATTTGCATACATTTGCTTTAGGTCAACCTTTAAACTCTGGGAGGGCAGGGATGGATTGTTTGCCTTTATAGCTCCAGCACGCACATATGTAGCACTCACTGGCCCATAATTGTCCCCCAATAACGATAAATGAAAGTAATATATTCTTTAAAAACAAAAACAAAAAAACCAAAAACAAAACAACAACAACAACAACAACAAAAAAGACCTGATCTTTTTCCCCTAAGAGAGTCCCTAATTTCCACTTGTTATTGTTCTAGAGAGAGAAATTTAGAACCGCTCCGTTTCCCATAACAGCGCATGGCAAAGTGTTTACTGCTACATCCCCCCATGGCTCAAGGCTCATCAGGGAGATTCCCCTACTGTTCCCGAGAACTCTGAATCCACATATATATCCTGAAAATGTGTTAGGGATCTTCTTACAGTTACCAGTGTTTCCCCCACAGGTTTCTTCCGAAGAAGCATTACCAAAAACGCCGTGTACAAGTGTAAGAACGGAGGCAACTGCGTGATGGACATGTACATGCGACGAAAGTGCCAGGAGTGCCGGCTAAGGAAGTGCAGAGAGATGGGGATGTTGGCTGAATGTATGTATACAGGTATCCACCTCAAGCAATTAAACTCCATAAAAGCTCCTAAGGAGGCAGGCGCCAGGTAACTCAGACAGCCCCACGTTAATCTGCCGAGGCGCTCTGCTGAGCCCTCTCTGTGCTTTGAGCTGGGTGCTGCAGCTCTGACTTCCTTAAACTGCCATCAGAAGAGCAACTTATTTCTCTGAAAGAAATGACTGGGTTTTTTTGGGGGAAGGGTTATGTTTTCATTTGTTGCGAAGACTTTTATAGAAGGAGTGATGTCATTATTGAAGTAACTTGCTCTAATGAACTAACTATGTCGGACAGCATTCTGAGAAGTTCATCTAAATTTGATTTTAACATACTCTTTATTTATTGCTTAATTACCATAAAAACTCATAGCGGTGGGACAGGAACTGCCTGTGAACTATCTAAATAGGTTTTTAAACTAAGCCATTTTTATTAAGAATCCACCTCCCCTTGGTGCAGCTGTGAGCCAATTTGTATAGGTTTACACAGGAAATTAACGACCCCGAGTTTTAATATAATTTTGTCCTTCGATCTGATAAGGGGACACTGTATTAAACACTGGCCCTATAAGGAACCACCGCCTTCATCAGAAATTAGAATGCATGTTAGTATAACATTATTAATTTTTCATCCTCCAGCCCACTCAGATTTAGAGATATGCCTCTTTCCTCCGACAAGCAAATCAACAAACAGATGTCACCAAGGGGATGACAACATTCAGAGAGGGAATGCCACACAAAATAAAAGCCCAGGGAAGGTGACCCTAGCTTCATTGTTTCCGAGACTGGGATGCTCCTGGAGAAACAATGTGTTCAGGAGGGAGAAAAACTGGTCTGTGTAAATAAATAATCCATCCCTGGATGGATGAAAGTTTTATACAGGCTGATCACAATCGCAGTTTAGCAAACACGAAATAAGAACCTGGCCAGGGGCAGCGGCTGCCATCCAATCTTGCGGCGGTCACCCTTTGACACTGGGCGGTTCATGTTGCTCATTACTTAAATATGAACTTGCTGCATCTGAGCTCATTTGGTAAGAGACCCTCCCCACAAAAGTCTGTAGGTTTATTTATAAGCACAAACATCTTTCTGTCGGGGACGTAGCTGTTTCATGAGTCTTTTGCACAGTATGCCTCCTAGAGCTTTGTTTCATGTCGCCAAGAGAAGAACAAAGAAATCCAAAAAATAAGGAAGGCAGTCCTGCGTTACTTGTTAAAGCTCAAAGCATAATCAATTGATGACTACAAGCTTACAAAAAAAAAAAATTCAGACACTTTGTGTTAGTCGGGTTTCTATCAATATCTAAAAAACCTGAGAGAATTCTTAAGAGAAAGCATTCGTTTCGGCTCATGCATTTAGAAGTTTTCCACAGTGTTTAAGCTTCTGCAGGGCAAAGGTGAGGAGCTGATGTCATAGTACAATGCTTATACCTTTAGCCTGAAAGAAAAAGGGACCGAGGAAGAAGCTGGGGTCCCACAGTCCCATCTGAGAACATACCTCCAATGACCCGCAGATCTGGCCCTCTCCTCATGGCCCCACCACCTCCCAATAGCACACTAGAGACTTTGTCTTCAACTTGAGAACTAAGCAATGGCTGGCATTCCTTAAGTAGTGTAACCTTTTTATTTTTAGTAATTTTCATAGATTAGTTAGTAGGGTTTTTTTTTTTTTCTGAAAGGTGTTCACATTTGTTTTACTCAACAAGTTTAATATAAAACTGAATATACTTTTTATTGAACAGTATTAATATAGGTGAAAATAATTGCATGTTTGAAAGTAATTGTATGCTTTGAAGGCAGCATCCCTGGTACCCTAGACCAGGAACAGGGAGTGGATCATTTGCGATACCACTGACTGAACACCTTGTGCTTTGTATGACCCTTTAGCATCACAAATCATTTATATATTAAGCCCAGGGGTTTTTTTTTAAGTACCTAATAACATCTATGCAAAACTCTGTGGCAAATATTTGTGTTCTACAAATGAAGAAGCACACACAGAGATGTCAAATGCCTCACTCAAAATCAAATCTTAAAAAAAATGTTTTTTTAATTTTTCCTTAAGATTTATTTTTTGTCTAAGTGTATGTGTTTGTGTGGACGTGTATAATATATGCAGGGTACCTGAGGGGGCCAGGAGAGGGCATGGGACCCCCTGGAACTGGAATCACAGCTGGTTGTGAGGCACCCCACATATGTGGTGTGGGTGCTGGGAACCAACCTCCTCCGGCCTTCTGCAAGAGCTGCAATTACTCTTAACCACGAAGCCATCCCTCCATCTGGCCTTCTCCTTTTAAATGCCAGATGAGCTAAAATTAATTCTGCTCTTCACCTGAGCTGATCACCTGACAGCTGCTTCAAGGACCACACAGGCAACAGGATTTTCCATCCTTATATTCTTTTTTACTTCCCTCCCCGCCCCCCAGGTTTGTTAACTGAAATTCAATGTAAATCTAAACGGCTAAGGAAAAATGTGAAGCAGCATGCGGATCAGGCCGTGAATGAGGACAACGAAGGGCGTGACGCGCGACAAGTGACCTCCACAACCAAGTCATGCAGGGTAACAAAGCGATGGCGCGGCCAAAGCTAGCGGCGAATGGGCTTCTGGGAACCTATCTGTCTGGCAGGGAGGTTATCAGATAAGAGTCTCAGCTACCGCCAAATTTTCATCTCAGTTGCACCCTGGAATGAACTCCTCCTTTTCTTTTGAAACAAGAGGGAAATGGATGCTTTTGATGTGCAATTTTAAATAACAGCAGTGTATGGATAGAAAATGAAGATTCTCCTCGGGCTACTAACTACCTAATGGCTGCCAGTGGGAACGGTTTAGTCTTCACAATGGAGTTTTCCACTTGAGGTTTTTTTCTGAGACAGAATCTCACTGTGTAGCCATGGCTAGCATGGAACACATTATTTAGACCAGGATAGCCTCAAAGTCACAGCGATCCACCTGCCTCTGCCTTCCAAGTGCTGAGACTTGCCTCCAGAATTCTGGAATTAAAAGCATGCAGTGCCATGCCTAGGCTCCACGTGAGTTTTTGATGACCATATCCCAGCTCCCCACCCTAACAGTAGCTGCCCTCGAGAAAGAAAGTTCCAACTTGGAAAATCTAGACCCTGTAGAGGCTGTGGATTGGTCCTTATCAGTTGGGAAAGCAGGATATCACACATCTGTGGACCAATAGAGAAAACCCTTTCATTGAATAAAAAAACAAAAACAAAAACAAAAAAAAACTCTCAAGAAATTCACTGGAGAACTAAAGATGGAGTGAGGGAACTGCATCTGGGCTGGTTAGACAGCCACACAATGCTAAATCACAGAACATCTGGAAGAATTCTTATCTTCCATTAGCTGAAAAGCCAACAAGCCAAGATCTCCAAGCTAGACCTTTGGCTGTATTGATTTGGCAAGAAGAACTTCCTCCGTTGTTAGGTTTTTATTCTTATTGCTTGTAATGATTTCAGGAAAACTAATCTTATGAAAAAGGATCATTCTGCTACAGAGCCTCATCAGTAACGCTTTGGTATAAGAAAGAAAAAAAAGAAAAAGAAAAAGAAAGAAAGAAACAAGAAAAAAGAAAAGAAGGAAAGAAAGAAAAGAAAAAAGTTAATGCAACACTTTTTATTTCTATAGGGTAGAAAGTGAAGCTTCTGTGAGGAGGGAAAGGGGTATCTGGGATCTGAGTTGGACAGACTGATGACTGTGGACTGTGGGGTCAGCAGACTTTTTTTTTTTCCTATAACGTACTACATATGTAGGATTTTAGGTGTTGGCCACATGCTCTGTATGACAACCATGTAACTGCCATTTTAACTCAAAAGGAGCACAGACAAAATACCAGGAAAGGAGCATGGCCACATTCCAATAAAATGTTATATTTACCCTGGCGGATGTGGTCCACAGGCCACAGTTTGCCATCCTTGAATACAGATGAGTATGCGTGGATGGATTCTCCACTTAACACACAGGAAGCCTTTAGAAGCTATGATTTAACCTTGGAATTCTACTGACCTTCAATGCTACTGTGCTCAATGGCCCCTATATTCACATTACTATATACTCCCATGAGACGTATGAGGAGAGTATTTCATTATTTATGTTTTGTAAATAGGAAAAAGAGCAAGTCGAAATAACTTTCGGGAAGCATGTTACTGCTAGAGAAACCTATCCCCCACTATGTGAAAGGTCACAACTCTTGGGGCTTTAAAAAATTCTCCATTACTAGTTTGTTTCAGATAAGTGCACATACTGAACTATGTATTTAGCTGCCCTCCCTAACATCTTTCATTTTCTTGCCAGTGTAGGAGAAAACTGAACTCACTGCAGACCAACAGACCCTCCTGGATTATATTATGGATTCATACAATAAACAGAGAATGCCGCAGGAAATCACAAATAAAATTGTATGTACTCTATCTGAAAATACACTTATTTAAAGTTAGCATTTTTTGTGACCTTTTACTACCTTTTAAGGTGGGATTTACATGTAAATGTGTTATTCAAAGTGATTGTTTTCTGAGACTTTCAAGTTATATGTCCAAACTGTTATCAGCATTAAGCAATTGAAAAAGAAGTCTCAGATCTAACTTGTAAATTGTAATGGTTTTCCAAATATGACCCATGTCTTTAAATTTCATTACTCAAGTCTAGTTTTTGTCCTTTAATAATTTTATATTGGGTTATTTTTTCCTGTCTATTTATTAATCATTTACTTTTTCTTAAAATTTAGTTAAAAGAAGAATTTAGTGCAGAAGAAAATTTTCTCATATTAACAGAAATGGCTACCAGTCATGTACAGATTCTCGTAGAATTCACAAAAAAGCTTCCAGGTATTTTTTTAAAAAATAATAAAAATTAATGTTCTTAAAATGTGTAAAATGTGCCATTATAATATTAATCACTCTGTGTACAATATTTTATTTCAGTTCTTAAAGCATTCTTATGTGATCAGATCTGTCACCAGGATTTCTTTCATTAGGTGTTTTTCCATTAGCAATTACTCTACTACATTGTACAGTTTTTCTGTGACATTGAAGAAATTCAAGTCACTTTAGTGTTTCTAATTACTACAGACATGAAAAGTCAGAGGCAGAAAACATACTCAGAATCATCTATAATAATTTGTCCTAGTTCAGTTACTAGAATGCTTGCCTAATACTCATGAAGTTCTGAGTTTGATCCATAGCACTGTGTAAACTGGACCTGATGATATGTTTGGGTGCATATTAACCTGTGAGGCCAGCCTGGTATACATTAAAAACTGTTTTTAAAAACAAAACAAAAAATCTTCCAAATACATAGGTCAGAATTGAGACTCTGCAAAGTTGTCATTTACCTGTTATTCAATAAGCAATGGTTGATGTCATTCAAGTACATGGCTGATCTCTTCAAGAAGGGTAGTTAAAGGGTATTCTCATGTGAGCGCGCGCGCGCGCGCGCACACACACACACACACACACACGAACACCCAGAGACCAAAGACATGGACCTGATGTTGGATCTCCAGTAGCCACATAAGCATCCATGAATGGTGTTACACTCCTAAAATGCCAGCACTGGAGAGGCAAAGGCAGAAGGATCCCCAGGACTTGCTGACCAGCCAGGCTACCAGAATCACTGAGGTCCAGAGTCAGTGAGATGTTTGAGGAAGCTACTCAGTATTGACCTCTGACCTTCACAAAGCCACACCCACATGCATAGATGCACACACAATTAAAAATGCACACAGGAACATATACGCCACCACACGCATGTGCGCGCGTGCACACGCACGCACGCACACACACAATGGGAAACAAAATTCAATGTGGCTAGAGAGTAATGTCTTTAGCATGCTCTTTGATTAGGTAGTAAGGAAATTGGCACTAGATAGTAAGGACCTGAGGAGTGTAGCCATTGACTTCTGGGTGGTAAAGAGGTTTTAGGAAATGATGATATTTTTGTTACCGAGAGATGTTCTTATCAGGTGTATGAGGTGGGCTTGGACGGGAAAAGACAGAAAGCAGGGGGATCTGTTTCTAGGCTACTCCTTAAGTCCAGAGAAGAAGGCTCAAAATAAGGTACTAAGAGGAGAAGAGAAAAGAGGGAGATGATAGATTTGAAAATCCATGCAGATTGATGAACGGTGGTGTGTATAAGGTGAAGAAAAGAGCTGGGTCCTGATGTGCTAAGCCCATGAACTTCTCCACTAAAGAAACAGAAGTGCCAAGCCACATTTCCCAGCATGCATCATCCCTGTATGTGTGTCATCTGAGCTATCAAAGATGTGATTTAGATTGTTTCAGTGAAAAAAAAATTAACAAAGTTAGCCTAGGCTACCTAATAAAATTTGTCTCAAAAGAATTTGAAAATATTAGTGCATTTACAATTTCATAGTGCCGAGTGTAATAAATACCTTCAGTAGCAGCATAGCACTTATTAAATTTCAGACAATAGCTTCTGACGTAGGGTTTAATTAGACCGGCTCATTTGCCTTCTTTTTACCAGCATTATGCTATTCTATATTAAATGTGTCACAGACAGACATTAGCCTAATAAAACTCAGAGGATGTGAAAAGTTCTTGCTGTCATTGACATTTTTAATATTCTCTTGCTTCTCTACTAACAATGAAAGAGAAGCTTAATTTGTTATATGCTAATTAAGGTGACACTAATCTAGATTAAAAACCAAGATCACCCAAAAATAAAAACTGTGGGGAGAGGAAATGAAAAAGGTAGAGGGGGATGAGATTTTAAAAACTATGGGAAGATTCTCTTTTCTTCAGTTCAAATGGTCAGTTTCTTTTGATCTTCAAAATAATGAGTGACCAGATGCAAATGGAAATATCTCAACTCCTCCTCGTTCACAGTCCCTGGTTCCAAAGAGAGGGTAGAATGCATGTGTGTTCAATGCATAAAGTCAGAGAGGGAGAATAAAATCTTAAAACACAGAAAGAAACATCAGACAAAAGAATCTGTCAATCATTTTCCCCTAACTGCAGCTATAGAGGTAACATTACAAATATCAGCAATGGTAGCATATCTCCAATATTGAAAAGGATTGTGGGAAATTCTGCTATCCTTTTAGTACATCCTTTCTCAGTCACTGTCCAGGGTTCTGGAGACCCAGAAAAGCGAAGACACGGTCCTGCCAGCAGTAACTTTTCTGTTAGGGCCTTATGGAGGCTGAACTGACCTCAAACAAGTGGTATCATTAGAAGAAGACCTTAGATTTCTGATCTCCGTGCTTTTCCCTAACAAATATTGAGATTATAACAAGCATCAGCATATCCAATTTCATATGGTGCTGGGGAGAGGTTGGAACCCAGGGCTTCTAGCAGGCTTAGACAATCACTCTACCAACTGAGCTAAGTCTCCAACCCTGATAGTGACTGTTAATCCTTAGCATTACTCTCTTTGAGTGGTCATTGCTGTTTAACACTCTCCTAATCCAATAGAAACTGATGACTTTCCTGCTGTGTGTGTGTGTGTGTGTGTGTGTGTGCGTGCACGCACACACAACAATTGTGGATCTTTTATCATTCATTTATTTTTTCATTTTGCTGCCCAACAAGTAATACCAGGCACCTATTATACACCAGGCATTGAGGGTACAAAAGTGAAGTAGTCAGTATCTGTTCTAAAAAGCTTATATTCCTTCATAGGTAGCGGCTAATACATAAGCATGAGTCCACTGTCTCCTGACAGGTAGTGGTACATTCCGTTGGCAGACATGAAGCATGTGACATCTAACGAGAGCTTGGGGCTTTACGAGGGATAAGCTTGCAGTAGATAACTGATGCCTGTTGGTGTGTGGGGGAGGGGTGGGGGTGGGGAGGTACTGGGATACCAGGGAAGAACATCCATCTCTGGGACAACAGCACACTTTCAGATCTCAGGAGAGCCATGGCCTCAGCGTATCAGGAGGAGAGAGGCAGGGTGGGGGGTGGGCAGGATATCAGAGCTGGAGGCTGTGTTCTAAAAGCCTGGATGAGGAATTCCTGCCTTCCAGATGACGTTTCTCTTCCTCGAAATGAACAGTTCTTCCTCAGTTTTGTCTGTTTCCCCCACACTGCACGGTGCAGATATTAGCCCAGAAATCATACCTCAAGATGACACTAATCACCTTGGGGGATATGTTACTCATTCTCTACATTCTGACTAAGCCTCACGGGTCAGCCTGATATTCTCGCTCTGGGGGCTTTTATTTTCTGAGTTAACCCTGCATGCCAGGTATGCCCAGAATAATGGCTCAAAGAGAATCTGCCAACATCAGGTTTCTGAGGGCTGCTTCATCTGTGTCAGCCGATTTCTACAGTTATGCATGAGCTTGCTGTGCATTTGACACCTCTCTTTTCACTGAACTTCTTCAGTAAGCCTGACTCAGAGCAGACAAAAATCAAGCTTTTCATTAGGGGTCCAACAGGAATCCAGTTGACTCCCCTTGAAGACCTACTGTGAAACAACTACAGTTGATGGGAAGGCTTTATTAGTGTGGATGGTCCAATGGTGAAATCTTACAGTACACATGCAATAGACTCCTATGTAAACAGTGTGAAATATTGTTGGGCAAACACGACTCTTTAACCTGTTTGATTATCATCATAGGGTTTCAGACACTGGACCACGAAGATCAGATTGCTTTGCTCAAAGGGTCCGCGGTTGAGGCCATGTTCCTTCGTTCAGCGGAAATTTTCAATAAGAAACTTCCCGCCGGACATGCAGACCTGTTGGAAGAAAGAATTCGAAAAAGTGGTAAGTGACATAGTTAAAGAGTGTTAATCTAAATAAAAATTGGCATTCAAACCATGAAGATGGGCCCTAACCTACCAGGCAACATCCACATGACCATGTGCCTAACATGAAGAACGGTTGTAAAAGATACAGGTTAAATAGGTGGGACTTCTGGAATCTTTGTTCAAAAATCCTCTTAATAGTAGCCAAATATTCTTCTCAGAACTAAGATGAAGACCTTTGAAATGTTAAATTTTTCATCTGATTAAAAGTGGTACAATGGAAGTGGGTCTATTCACTTCAGTAAAAAAGATTCATTTATTCTTAACCTATAGGTATGAAAGACTAGTATCAAGCTATTTCCATCTTATTCAAAATAAAATAAATATTTATAATCAGTACTCATATATCATGTTCCAGATTTCAGATATCGTTCTGAATAATTTACATACGGTTTAGTCAAGGACTGACATTATCCTATGAGATGAATTCTATTATCACCCCTACTTTAAAGATGAGGAAGCCAAGACAGAACAGCATGGGTCTCCAGAGACAAACAGAAGTCTGATCTCAGAAGCCATATGTCTTTTTAATTTTATTTACTTTGCAGTTATTGGAACTGAATGGAGTATTTAATGTAATGGGCATTTGGCCTTCTACAGAGTTGAAGGCCCTATCCCCAGCTGGAAGCCACACATTTAAATCAGTATACCACACTACCCCTTAAGAGACAAAGTGAAATTATAATTCCATTTAACTTATGGAGTAATACTCTGGCAGAAAATATCGGGAGGCACTAGGATGAATTTACATAAATTCTGCGCATTTCTTTCTTGTGGGAATCCTTAAAATAAGGTGTTTTTATTTTACTATGAGATTATGGATTGGTTGGGGAATAGAGGCAAATGGCATGAGATGACACCTGAAGACCTTATTCTGCGACTGACTGGAACTTCTAAAACCAGTATTCTAGAACAGCAACCAGAAGGATTTATGTATTTGTATTATACACACACATGCACATACACACACATACACATACATACATACATACGTACATACATACAAACATTCAAATTATCTTTTTAAACTACCTTGTAGCCATAATGTTTTCTTAGTTAAAAATTGACAGCTATTTTCAGGACTGTTGTTTACATTTCCCCAAACCCTAAAGTATAGTTTCCATCATTAGGAGAGTTTAACAGTGCATACTTGTAAAAGGTACACTATCCTCATGGAGCCACGGATTTATTATTTAATGAGGATTTAGAGGGGAAGTGGTATGGTGAAGAGATTAATCAACAGAATGCCTCTGTAAAATTTAAGGTCTTGTAAAGAGAGAGAAAGCTATACAAATAAGATGAAGCCCAATAAGATGGAGGAGCAGAGCTAGCTGAGAGGTGACCTCTAGTTGGGAAGCACCTAGTCTGGAAAGGTTATGTTAGGATTTGAACTGGGCCCTGAACAGTAATTTATCTGGATGCTTGGGGTGCACTTGTAGGATGGAAGGGCCAGTGTGGGTGAAGGATAAAGACCAGACATCTTGGGTGAGTAAGATTGAGGCTGTTAGATTTAGGCTTACAAGAAAGTGAACAGAGAGGAGGGAAGTAAGACTAGATGGTGAAGAGCCTTGAATTTTGTTATTTTCTAAGTAATAGTGTGATATTAAAAATTTTTGAACAGAAGAGGACAAGTATGAAAACATATGTTTGCAAGTCTTCTTAGAATAAACCAGGATGGTAGACTCCTACAAGGAGATAAGGGGTTTTCAAGGGTGTGATCCCTGTCTCTGGGGAAAGGGGTGGATGGTTGAAGGATCTAAGGCTGTTATCTCAGACTTTCACCCTTTGAAAGGCATTGGGTTGTCAAGAAGTATGAATTACAGTCTACATTTTTAAATGATTGATTCTGGCCCGGAAGAGGTATGCAATAAAAATCTATCAGATAAATGTCAGGTGGTAGATTTTATTTTTTGCATGGATTGGGACCTTGTTTTAAGTGTTCTCTCTCTCTCTCTCTCTCTCTCTCTCTCTCTCTCTCTCTCTCTCTCTCTGTGTGTGTGTGTGTGTGTTGGAGGCATGTGGAGATGTGTGTGTGTGTGTGTGTGTGTGTGTGTGTGTGTGTGTGTGTGTGTAAGGGGTCCTAGCACATGCTTCTTGGGGTAGATGCTTTATTGCTTAAGAAACATCTGGAGAATTACTGAGAGGAAGAATGGACAAATGGGTGGAGGTTTGCCTTCAGCTGTCTTATCTGCCACTTGCTTCCCTGAGATGCCAAGAATCAGCCTTGTCTTGGAAAAGAGTCTTGATAAAGGGGTGAAAAGGGGCAGTGAAAGATGTGACTCATAGTCAATTATGGGTGCAAGCTGACAGCTTTGTCTTCTGCTTAAGACAGCTTTCTAGATAGCTTTTGGATTTTCCAACTAGACAAATTCTAAAAGAGGTGTGTTAGCTCTCTGGATAGCTCTGTTCTTGCAGACCAAAGCCCAGTCTTTTATTTACATATCAATTCAATCATTTACTCCAAGTTCCCTTTTGATTATCCCATGAATCAGCATTTTGTGACCTTAGCCCCCTGATTCTTAGAAAAAGATAGAAAGCACATTATTTTTTTAACATAGCAAGTCCTATGTGGTTCACTGGGCATAGTGCTTGTGGTTGTAAAATCTAGAGATAGAGGCTATTTTATGTGACAAAGTTAACTTTCTGTTTTCCAACTCCTTCACTGCCAAAGTTTGGCTGTCCTTGAACTTGCTTTGTAAACAAACCTTGAGCTCAGAGATCTGCCTGCCTTTCTAAACACAATCAATAAGCTTAGCTGGGTGGGATCCTGCCCTGAGATCACAACTCCCACCATGCCTGGACCTATACTCCATCTGTCCCAGGCCAGCCTTGAACTCAGAAATCTGCCTGCCTTTGTAAATACAAACAATAAGCTTAGTTGAGTGGGATTTCTGTCCTAGGATGACCATTCTCTCACTTCCTTGTGCTTTTATTACTTGAACCATGAACCTTGTTTTCTTTAACTATTCCTTTCCCTTTATTTACTCATTAGTGCAGATGCCTCTGTTTATTTTTTGTTGTTTGTTTGGTTGGTTTGGTTTCGTTTTGGTCTGTGAAGCCCCTTACACAATTCATATTGCATCCTTTTATTTTGCATAGTTGAGAAATTGTTGAACTCATGTTTTCAGAGTTCTTTCCCACAGCCTTAAGGGCTGTCCTGAAGGTCACTGCATTTGCTGAGGAACATCAGACACATTCTTGCTTCCCAGACTCATGCTGTTTCTGATTATTATGAAGTCATTAACCTTAGTAGGGAGAACATTCTCCAAAGGAGGAACATGAAGCAAAAATATGTACATTATTATGCAAACAAGCCCTACAAGCACTGCAACAATCAGCACTCGTAGAGGCCCACATCCTACTGGTCCTGCTCAAGGGGTAGAAACCATGTCACATCGTCCCTTCCACAGTCATGCCAGACCTGGTACTGAAGAGTCTTCTCAAGTATCAGAATTCCTAGTTTTTCCCTCCCTGAAATCTAAGCACCAGAAAGTCATTTTTGTTTGTTTGCTTGCTTAAAGTTTTATTTATTTATTTCATATGAGTACACTGTTACTCTCTTCAGACATACCAGAAGAAGGCATTGGATCCCATTACAGATGGTTGTGAACCACCATGTGGTTGCTGGAAATTGAACTCAGGACCTCTAGAAGAACAGTTAGTGCTCCTAACATCTGAGCCACCTCTCCAGCCCCCAGAAACTCATTTTTTCCAGTCCTTCTGGAAGTTGTTTGTCTCAAGGATCAGGCATCTATCTGGGATCTGTGCATAAGCTGAGTGCACAGGCAGTGTTGGTACAGGAACTCTGCTGCGGCTCCCTCTCCTTTCAAGATGAGTTGTTTAAAGTTCATTCAGGTGCCACATAGCATATAGCAGGGAGCTTTTGGCCACAGAAATTAAAATGTTTTGATGAGTAGAGACCTGAAGGGAAATTAATTACACAGATATTGTAGTGTCTGTCTGTCTGTCTGTCTGTCTGTCTCTGTCTCTATCTCTTTCCTCTATCACTGGATTTCTAAGAGGAACATTCTCCATGTTATAAGAGTAATTTTTGCATGATCTATTACAGGGCTCTATTCTAGCTGTAAGCCTTGGGTCTTGGTAAAAGCAAATGACAGGATGAAATTAAATATGCAAAGGATTAATCTATGAGAATCTCTGAAAAATAAAAGGCGAGGAAAGCAGGTCTGGTGAGAGAGAGAGCCTTCCTGCTACCTCATTGATCTGATGCCTGTGGGAGGGGAGAGGAAGGCTTGACTGGGAAGAGACTCAGAGCACAGGGCTGAGGAGGTCTAAGCTAGGGTAAAGAGAGGGATGGGGTCAGAGATGCCCACTCAACAGGTCTTCAGGAACATGCTGGCTGTGATCAGGTTGCTAACATTCACAGGGGAGCAGCTCTCAGACTGTCATGGACCTACAATGCACTCTTGTAAAGAAAGATCTGAGTGGGGCATCTTCATGGTCCACAACTGGCATCATATGTAGACATACACATGCACACACACACACACACACACACACACACACACACACACATATGAGATATATATATATCTCCCACATACCCCATTAATACTAACATATCTCCTCTAAAAGCTGCAGTGCCTAGGTTTTTGACGAGCCATGATGGAAGACAACCATCTTACCTTCCTGCTCACTCACTTCAACTCTGACTCCAGCGACTCTTTCTTTTAAAGAGCTTTCATCCACCAAGTTGTCAACCCCAGTCTTCCAGCCACTGGCTTGAGCTACTTCTTTCCTCTATGTGTGTATATGTCTGTGTGTGAGTGGCGACATGTGTCGTGGCAGACCTGTGTTGTTCGGAGGACAGTCTCCAGTGTTGGTTCTCACCTTTGAGCTTATTTGAGACAATCTCTTTTATGTAATGCTGCACCAGGCTGGCCACTCGGTAAACTTCCGACAACTCTCCCGCCTCTGACTCCTGCCCCCCAGTAAGTG